CAATCATGGCAATGTCAATCTTTGCAATGGTTTCTTTCCTCCTCTGGTGCCCCTTCCAGGCTTGTTCCTCCTCTTCTTGTTGCACTACTGGGTCCTCTTCTGGTCTCAGGGAGAATGCAGGGTCTGCCATTTGTTGCTCCATCTGTCTCAATGACTGCTTATTGTCCTGACTAAAGGCTTGAAGGCTGTGCCTTTTGATGTCCTCCTGTGCAAATAGCCTGTTCCTTCAGTCTGCATCTCTTTGGTGGTTGATGCTCACCTGATCCCTTCAATGCAGTATGGTCTTTGGTAATGTCCACACCAGCTGGTTCACCACTTCTTTCCAGGGTGGTAACTCATCAGGCCACAACAATTGATTGTTGGTGCAGTCAGGTAGGACTTGGTTCTGTGCCAACCATGTCTTCCCCAGGATGATGTCATGCTTTCCCAGATCTGCAATCAGCATAGGGGTGTCTGCTAGTTTCCTCCCATCAACCCGCAGGTCCAGCACTATGGCATGGGTAATTGGCTCTCCCATCCTACCGTCGTATCCTCTGACTGGACAGTCTTGACTCAGTGGGAGGGTGCCTATACCAAAGAATTGGGCTAGTTTAATCGCCAGTGGTGTGCTCAAAAACACATATCCATTTGCTCCAGTGTCAATCAAAGCATTAGTTGCAAGTGATACTCCATTTCCAACTACCTGTATGTCTAAAGTGAAGCTATCTTGTTCTCTTCTGAGCAATCTTTGCAAATCAATGCCATAAAGACTGACAGTGTGACTGCCTAAGCAGGAGACTTTGCCTAGGCATCCCCATTTCCTGAGTTGTCATTCAATGTCTCTGGGGTCACTTCCATCCTGTGGAGTTGAGTGGTGTTGCTGTTCTTCTTTTGTCAGGGACAGTCTCAGAATATATGACCCATTCCCCTGCAGTGGAAGCATTTGCCCTGATTCATCAGTTCCTGTTGTGCATTGCCATCAAGTTGAGTGCTGCCTGAGCTGTTGACAGTCTTAGAGGAGTTGGTGTTGGAGTCATTTTGAGAGCTCCAATTAAGGTTACAGTGCTTGATCTCCTGAGCATTGACATTCAAGGACTGGACTACTGTGCCCACATAAGCTGTGAAGTCATTGAAAGTCTTATCATCACCAATGTAGGGAAGAGCCAGCTCCTTGACCTTGTCAGTGAGGTGTCAGTTGAGCTCAATCTTGTATTGGTCATCAGGGATTCCAGCTTCACTCACCAGCAGTAGGAATTTGGCCAGGAACTCAGGGAACTTGTCACTGGGATGCATATACATTGTCTGGAGTTCAGCATCAGCCTCCATACATCAGTGGGGGTTCTGGAATGCAGTAGTGAGGGTCTTGAACATCTGTTCAATGCTGGTATATGGGTCGGTGGCATCCTTGTGCAATCTGACACTCAATTGCTGTCGTGCTAGACCGCCGGTGCGGGAGACAAGGTAGACTCATTTCATCTGGTTGTTATCAAAACAGTCTGCATTGGCCATGAACTTTCCTTTCATCTCAATCATCCAGTCCTCAAACTTAGGCTCCTTGCCATCAGTGAGGAGTGGAGGATCAGGCACCTTCTCTGACTTGCTCAATTGCTTGGTGCTCTCCACAGTGGAACCATGGGAATGCAGTTGCATCTCTGCATAGGCTGTCTTGTACTCATCCTGTTCTGCCATCAATTCATCAATCTGGTTCCCTTTGTCCTGAAGCTCATTGTGAAGGTTCTGGACAAGCTCTTCATCCATCTGCTTGTGGTATTCATTCTCAAGGTCAATAAAGCGGTGGAAGGTGTCAGCAACATAGTCAAATAGTTCATCAGGGTGGTCGCAGCACTGTGCTAGGAACTCTTCATGGGTGATAATCTTTTGACCCTGTTCTTTCATGTCCAGAGTCACACGTTGGCTCTGGGTTCATTCAGTGGCGTCTCATGCCATCGTAACTGGTTCAGTTCAGTTCATTTGATTTGGTTCATTTGGTTCAGTTTGGGGTGGCTCTCTATCACAAGCGTGTGGATCTCTCTGATGGAGTCCTAGCTGTATGCGCTAGAGAGGAAGTTGTAAAGAAAAGAATAAGAGTGATGTTAGAATTATGTGACGGTCCTGAGCAATATGAGTATATTGGTAGATTATCTGACAAAATTCTAACATGAGGAGAGAAAAGGAAAGAGGCAGGCCTGCCGGCGACGAGCTATCTAATGTGTGCGAAGGGTTTAAGCGAGGCTCAGTGACTGTCCATGCTCAGTGAATGTCTATGCTCCGTGACACTCCTCACATACATACAGAAACACCCACACCTGAAAGCAGAACTGGCTCCTTTTGGACCACCATCCAGGGACATCCTAGCTGTCCAAATCAACACCCCCCAGAAGACAGCATTCCTGGTCAACATCTATAATGCTCCCTGTGGAGCAGTTGATGAGGGTCAAGGTCTGGAGTCTCTCATGACAGAGACAACCCCATCTCTCCCCTGCCTAGTAGCTGGAGATTTTAACCTCCAACACCCTATATGGCAGTCCTCTGCCTGACCCTCTCCAAGAGCAGAACCCTTTTTATCTTGGACAGAATCCCAAGACCTCACCCTAACACTTCCACCAGACTGTCACAACCTGGCTTCTCTCGTATCGTAACCTAAGGTTCTAGTTAGTTAAGTCTCAGTTGGGGCACTCACCTGAGTGTCCTTCGTCGTCGTCGTTATATCGATAATGACCCCTCGGGTCTAAGTCGTGATGCGCCGCGTGGTATCTCGCCCCAGTAAGGCTCTGTAAAGAATGCGCTGCTTGGTATATCGCCCCAGCCAGGCTCCGTAAACAAGTAATCCGATAAAGGTGACGAAGTAGAGAAACAAGGCCAACTAAGTACATATACTTAGATGTTGGTTTAGTGCTGACAAGTCTGAACTAGAAAGGTAACCAATGCTTTATTGACAAAGACAATCGCGAAGAACTAAACTAAGTACAGGAATGAGTGTCCTTATATATCCTTCATGATATCAGTATAACATCCCCGAAGTATACTGGTATACCCTATACAGAACTAACAGTATAACTCCCGACTTGTATACCTGTATACCTTCTGCAGGTCACATGAGGTATGTCGTACTTCCTTAATGCTCAGGTCATAATCCCTGCTTAACTCACCAATGATTCTGCCTTAACTCCCCGCATCGTCACGTGAGGCTGACAGGATAAGGTCTGTAACACCATCCAGTTCACAGGTGATTATTCTGTACACAAGCCTTCCCCTCAAACACATGATTCATCCACAACCATCTGACAGGGCTAGAGAGAATAAAACAGACTGACCCTCTGGTCTATTCCCCCTGGCAGGCTGACAACCCCAGAACAACCCAAAACATTTGCTCTACCTGGGACAGGGCAGGTGAAATCTTTCAACAGTGGACTGGTACATGCCCTCCACTCTCCATGTTCCTCTTCACCGACGGCAGCCGCTTGAGTAATTCAGATATGGTAGCTGGTGCTGGATGGTATGGACACTGGGGTGCTTGGAAGCAAGAATCTGCCCGTGGCCATCTCTGTCTCCCCAAGCACGAAGTTTTTGATGCAGAGGCCACCGCTGCATATGAAGGGCTTAAGGCTGCCCTTGATAGTGCCCAAGCCCCATACATGCAGAATTTATACATCCTCCTAGACAACCAAGAGGTAGCACGACAGCTAGTGGGCTCATCCAGAGGCTCCAGCCAGAGCACCATCCTGGCCTTCCAAAAATCACAAATGCCTGGCCCAATCGGCCACTCAGATGCAAGGCTATCCCACCTGGGCGGGTACATGTCCACTGGATCCCCGGACATGCCGGTATTCCAGGGAACGAGCAGGCCGATGAGCAAGCAAAGAAAGGAACTAGGGCTACCCCACAGACCTAGCTCCTCTTTTGGCTTGCTCATCTGCCTGCTCGTTTCCATCGATGCCAGTGTGCGAGTCTGCTTCGCCCGTCGTATATTCCGCTCCGGGATCTCTGGGGGCACGTGACCAGCGCACGTGCCACTTTTTTTCCGACGTAAAATAGCAACTACTACTACTACTACTACTACTACTACTATCAAGTCTATAAATATTAGCTAGGAGTAGTTGAGTCAATCAAATTTGCTGCTCATTGAGAGGCACTCGTTTCCGTGAGATACCACTCGTTCGGGGAGCAAGGACCTGTAGTAGTGGTGAGCGCAACCCTGAGCACCCTCATCATTAATATTTAATAAACAACGACCGAAATTGCTAAGGTCTATAGACCTGGACTAGCAAATTGCACACCGTCAAATTCAAATTTTGTCTAACCGAGTCCTTAACTGCCATTAGATTTATTATGGAACAAACATATTAACAGGAAACACCGTTTCCAAGGGAAGATTAACCCAACATTTGACTCAAATCGAGACACCACACCCAAGCCAGCAGGGCGTAAAATGGCACTTCTCCCGTAAAGTCAAAATGTCACAGTATCCCCAAACAGACATTGTACTCGAAACATATTTTGCCTTCGTGCGTTCAGTTTCAAGCTTAACCGCATATTATGCAGAGCGCAGATAGTTCCCGACTTTTTTTTTTCTTCTTCTTCTGGTAAATCCCATCTCCCCATCTGTTTCTGATAAGGCGTCTCTTGATCGAGAGAGTTCGTTTTCCCAGAGGGGGATGGAAAAGAGAAAAGGAAGAACAAAAGAAAAAAGAAAATGAAGAAAGGATAGGAAAGAGGAAGACAAAGGGTCCATCGGAGAAAGGCAGATGAGGGATTGGAAGAAAATAAAGCTCCCGAGGCAGATCAAGAAGTTCTGGGACCTCGAGCCCTGATTGTTGTGTCATCTTCGTACCAGAGTTTGCCAAGAGGATAAGTGCAAGGAGTAGCTCTAAAGGCATCATTTTCCATGGAAGAGTGTTTCGGAGCGATCGTTCGAACGTATACAATTTCCCGTTCAGCAGCAGTGGTTCCGCGGTCGAATTGCGAGCGACGACGACGTTGCTCATCGCGATACTGCTGGCTAACACGGGGAGCAAACAGTCCTGGATATAATGTTATAAGTCAGTGGTGTCTCCCATGTAGAGTAAGACGTAAAACGGACCGATGTGCTCTGCGTTCTCGATACTCCGACGCATTTTTGATGGGTTGTCTGGCCCAGGGAAACGATCCTCAGTGCCAGCAAGAGGACCGGTTCCAGCATGGAATATCTTTAATCAACGTAAGCATATATACTATTTCCCCTCCTTCCTTTCATGGGGAAGCATACCTTAGGGCGGAACGAGGGGTGTTCGAGCATAACCGAACTGTTACGGAACTTCTGTATGAGACAATCTTTCCCTTGGATGGCTAATCTCAGGTCTCAGTACATAATGTCCAAACGCGGAGAAGCTGTGCTGTAGGTACTTACTTGCGTAGGAAACTTCCGCAACCTTGTCACTGTTAAAGCAGTTCCTAAGAGAAAGTTAACACAATGGTGTGAACTGTTGTGAAGCAAAAAGTGATACGTACCAACTGCGTCCGGCTCGGGCGTTGACAAACTATGGAGTGTAAAAATAAGCCCAAATCGTTCATCTATTGAGGAACATGACTCACATCAATAATATCAATCGGCTAACATAGTATTGTCAGTTTGACTTTAGTACTATGTAGGTTGAGTGGGACTAACTTACGTCTTCGAAATTTATAAAGGCGTAGCCAACACTGACATAAAATCGTGAGTAAAAGAAAGAATAAAAGAGGGCCGGGAGGGAAGGATTATGAGGAAACGTAGAAAACTAACTTGCAATTGTTTGCAAAATCTAGATTCGACGCAATTAGATCCTTTTTGCAGTCAATATTTTACTTTTTCCAGGGATTCTTACCAATTCGTAGATACATGAAGTCATATTTGCCGTAGCTGGTCTCGTCAATGATAGATTTCAGCATGCCCTGATATAGGTTAGAGATGTGCTTGCGGATTTTTCAGATTGATCGTTCCTAACCTGATCGATTTTATTTGGAATGTTGCGCAGCATAATCTGGAGTTCATTAAGGCTTGTTAGTTCGCAGCCAATGACAACAGACTTCATATCACACATACCGTTGTGCGAACATCTAAGCCAAGACGAATCCGTTCGACATCGACTGCGTTTTGATTGCCAGGACGAGAATCAGAGTAACGACCAAGCTCCCGGCGGGGCGATGGCAAAACATTCTCACCCGTCTTAGACATCCAGTCCATGAGGTCAGCATGTTCGCCTTGGGGAACTGTAGAACGGCCCGTAGGGCTTAGCTCCATACAAGGAGTTCGAGTTGGTCGGCCGTGGTTTAAGGAAATGCGCCTAGGATAGGGATCTTCGAAATGGAAAGACCTATCCTTCACTGGGGTCGTCGGGCTCGGAAGCGGAAGATAAGGGTTATTGTTAGTTAGATCTGGATGGAAGTGCGAAACTTCGAGAACGCAGTCCTGTGTAAGTAGAAGAAAGTCAAAATTTCTCTCTTGTGACAAGACAAAAGGCGTGATTCCAAAAAAAAAAAAAAAAAAAAAAACACCCCCAGGTAGGAATAACCAAGAGAAAAGGAGAGGGAAAAGGGAGGAACTTACATCAACCCTAGCACCATTCAAACTAATGGAAGCATTCTCCGCATCACGAGTGTTGAAAAATTCGAGATGAAACTCGCTGACATTATCCTGACTGTTAGACAACTGGCTGAATTTTTTAATGTCGCCAAAAGTCAGGACAAGCGCCTCGAGGGAACGTGACACCGAGTGTTGGTTCAACTTCGGGTTCCTGCTGTCATAATAAACGGCAACCAGCAACTGGCCTTCAAAATCAGAGGTCTTTGGAAGCAGAGACGGATCTGAACGTTGAGCCAACTCCCTGGCAGTAAGAGGGACGATATGCCATTCTGGTCGAAGAAGATGAACCTTTTCGAATGCATTTTTGGCGTCTCGGCTGTCGGTGAAGGAAAGATATACATTTCCCATGGAGCTGAGTTCGGTGAGTACAGGACCTTTGAGAGTCCCAAATTCGCGGCGCTATTTACTCTTGGTCAGCATGAGGGAAATAAGACACATGGCTTTTGCCAGGCTACTCACGTTGAAAAAACCAGCCAAAGCCATATACGAGAGGTTAGTCGGTACATTCTCAATGACAAAGGCACGGCTCCGTCGCTCAGAATCAAGCTTTTCGATTGGCGCGCTGGACGTGAAGTTGTTTCTAGCGAAATGAGCGTTTCCAACGGGACCGTACTCCGGCACGTTGGGCTCACTGAATCTGATGATTCCCGCACCCGGTCCATGTATTTCGGGGTCAGAATTGGCAGCCAGACGGCCGACATTGGAGAAATCACGAGTCAAAGGGGACTCGAATTGGCTTTGACTAGCTATATTACCAGTCATTGAGATCGGCGTGAAGCTTGCTGCCATCGGGGAGAGCTGCACCCGGTTTGAAGGGCCACTTTGTCCCCAAAAGGGGTCTGAGGAAGGCCTGAGCAGTATCAATAGACAGGATCTCATAATGTCAAACAACGTGTTTTCTTTGGACTCACAGCGAATAAACCCTACGGAATCCGGCATCGTTCAAGGGGGTATTGACGCTGGAATCGGAACGCCCCTTTGAACGAACGTCTTCAGGAGAGAACGCCGTGAGCTTGGTATCAGATGATCCATGAGGAGAAGGTGGTCCGTTAGTAGAACCTGGACTGCTCAAAATACGGGAAGATGAAGCGTTGGATCTCATCTCGCCTTTCCCGAGTCGAGACGAAGGTCGATAAGTAGTTAGTAGAGATCAAAGGAAGGATGAAAAAGGATAGCTTGGGCGAACTGTCTCTGGAAAAGAACGACAAATGAGACTGGCAGCCCCGTAAGATCCAGAGACGGAGGGAGAAAAAGAGAAAAAAGAAAGACGAGAAGGCAAAAGAGAGGTGGGAAAATATTAGCCTGTCTCCTCCAGCAGTGTATATTTCGGAAGAAAACAGAGTGAGCAGGTTTAAGAGCAAAATCTCAAGCCAGGCATGTTATAACACAAGCAGCACCATCATGCCATGCCCAATCCGGGGCCTCGAAAGTGGAGCAGGGGAATCACTGAGACCATCCAGGCAGAAAGAATCAGGCAGTCTTTCTGAAGGGAATGTTCCATGCTTGAGTTGCCCTATTAGGCATAGGGGAGTAAGGTGTGGCATCAAACTAACCAAATCTGTGCACAGTATATCACCACCATCGATGGCAGTAAATATTGCAATTAAGAAAGGATATGGGGGAGATTAGCTGAGCCAAACAGTTGTCATTCAAGAGAAGTGAAGACATGTGAAACCCTTTTATCCAGATACATAGCTTGTTTCCTTGTCAAAAAATGTTACAACAAAGTCCCAGGACCAGCAGTGACTGCTCTATAGCAAAGAAAGAGGCATTACGACGGCAGCATCTTCAGCAATTAGAGCAATGGTAAAAACAACAGAGAGAAAATGCCAGCATCCGTTGGGAAAAGGATAAGACAAAGCAGAATGGACGAGAATGACTAGACGCAACGCAGTCTCTTCTTGGCTCTGACCTTGACTACTGCAGTCTTCACTTCCTTGACACCCATAGCGAGACACAGTGTTGTCTTGGAACTGGTAACGGGCATGAGCAAGCTGAGAAGCTCTGATTGTTTAGTATCAAAACTCGATGCACGGTTTCCACCACCTAACAAAGGTTATTACTTCAAAAGACAATGGTCTTTGACAGCCAGAACAACAACAGACTCTTCACCTCACTGGAGTAGATCCATGGAATCATGCACATCCGCTTCAGGATGCATGTTCATCTGGTATACATGTATCTCATCGATAACGCGCAAACACCTTCCATGCAGGCAGGAATTACATGATGCCATTTATAGTATATGCACCAGGCTATTCCTCTTCTTGTCCGGGTATATTAAGAATAACAACATTTGAAATAGTTGATAATATATGCTAAAATAAGTACATATGTCAGGTGGCACTCATCGGAATATCTGTGCCGCGGTTCAAATGCGGAATGCTCCGAGCGGGTAAGTGTCATCATCATCGCTCGCGTCTGCGATACTCCGCGGCACCAAAGAAAAGACATTGATATTACAACCCGGTTGGGCTTACTCCGGATTTTGAATCCTATCCTAATGACACTAGCACGATAGCACACTCCTATCCACAAATACATGTAATCCGCATCTCCCGAGTAGTCGCCATAGCCAAGGAACTCCATCGAAATGCCGTCGGTTGTGCCAGCCCGCAATGGTCCATCGTACGTCTTGAATCAGGTAAGCATCGCCTACAAGTCTTTTGGAAGTCACTTGTGCACCAGCTGACAATAGTGGCATATATAGATTATCATATCGCCTCCCGATACGGACTACCTTGACCAATTGATTCCTTCAATCCGAGAATATAGTGTCGGGAATCGCACGCCCCAACTTCTACAATCGCTGGCCAAGTTTGCCAATGACAAGGAAGCCGAAATCGAGACTATATGTAACACGAATCATCAAGAGTTTGTCACTTCCGTTAACCAGCTTCTCCGCATACGGGAAGGGACTGTAAGCCTGACGGCCGAGATTCTGGACCTGAATCAGTCGATCCAAGCCAGTACGGAGCGGCTAGCCGAGCAGAAGAAGGCATTGGTTGAATCACGGAGTCATCGGCAAAACATTGACGAGACCTCTCGCGCCATACAAGATTGCCTAGAGGTTTTGCGCCTCGCGAATCAAGTCCATGACTTGCTTGCAAAGAAGAATCACTATGCAGCCCTACGTGCCATTGAGGAATTGCAGAATGTACACCTCAAAGGAGTTACTCAATATAAAATTGCAGAAATGATCCAGCGTTCAGTGCCGGCAACGCAGAAAGCGATAGCCGAAGCAGTCATGTCTGACTTGAATACTTGGCTCTATCGAATTCGCGAGATGTCACAGTACCTGGGCGAGATAGCGCTATACCACACGGATTTGCGGAAATCGAGACAAAAAGAGAGAGCGCAGAAAATCCCATACCTGGGAAATTTCAAGCTGAACTCAGCCATCGAGTTAGTATCTGACGAGGACGAAGAATATGACTTACTGCAGAATGATGAACTTCAAGTGGACTTCACGCCACTCTTTGAATGCTTGCACATCCACCAGTCACTTGGACACATGGACAAGTTCAGGCTTGAATATGCAAACACACGTCGGCGACAAAAGGAACTTCTGATCCCATCATCAATAACACTAATCGACGAAGATGGGGCCGGTCTACACAATCTCCTTGAGGAGATAGTAGGTTTTGCGATTGTGGAACGGTCTACTATGAAAAGGGTCCCTGAGCTGAGATCCCCTGTTGATGTATTCCACCCTCTCCTCTTTGTATTTGTGAATAGAAAGTCTCTGAAATGGGTATGGTATTAACAATCTACATAGGTGGGTGAGCTCTGGGATTCAATGTGCCAGACCGCTGTCAGTTTGATATCGAAGGCGCTCTATGAAGTTGACAATGCTGAGAGTCTGCTGAAAATAAAAAACCTCATCGCGTTATTCATGCAAACAATGAACGTAAGTCTTGTTGCCATTTCAACTACATACTGTGACCTTTGCTAACATGACCAAATTCAGACTTGGGAGTTTCCAGTCGGGGTCTTCGATGGATTCTTGTTGACCCTTTTTGAAAAATATGCCGAGCTTCTCAAGAAGAGATTCAGCGACGATTTCCAGGAGGTGAGTATATTACTGCTGTTTCTGTTTTTCTTCCATATCTTACCTGTCATAGATCGTATCTACGGATGATTATATGCCTATGCCAATACAGAGCTTGGAGGAATATGAAAAAGTCCTCAATGTTAGCTGGTATAGCCCCGAAAAGCCACAGGAAGAGCAAGTGTAAGTTCCAGCAGAGACCACTGCTGGTTTTTTTTTTTTTTTTTTTTTTTTTCTGTATTTTCTTTTTTTGTCCTTTCCTCCCCATCCTCTCTTTTTTTGTCTGCCTCTGTCTCAGTGTTAACGACATGTCTAGTTTTCCATGCGTTTTACCATTCTCTCAGATGTATCCTCTCTGTTGCATCGACATTCGTAATTTCCTGAATCAGTTTTATTTCTTCGCGAACGATGATTTCTCTCATCCAAATGTCATCGACGATACGTTGAAAGATGTGAGTATCCTTTGGCTTGTTGTCTGGTTTTTCAACTGACAGTACCAGGCCCTGGATGAACTTCTATCGAACAAAGTATGCGACACTCTTGTTGAGCGTCTCGCTTCCCAGTATTTGGGTCAGATTGTTCAAATCCTCATAAACTTGGAGCATTTTGAACTGGCCTGTCGTGAACTTGAGTCGCTGCTTGCTGCTGCGAGGTCACAAAACTCTGCTGGAGGGTCAATCGCTTTGAGAGCGACGGAAAAGTTCAGAACAAACAAGAAAGCCGCGGAGAAGCGTATATTCGAGGTCGTCAATTCTAAGATCGATGATCTCATTGAGACCGCAGAATACGACTGGATGGCGCCTGTCCCTCCTACGGAGCCCAGCAACTACATGCAAACCCTGACCCGATTTCTATCTAACATAATGAACTCGACATTACTCGGGCTTCCAACAGAAATCAAGGAACTGATTTATTTTGATGCTCTGAGTCATGCTGCAAATATGATCCTAGTATGTTCTACTTTCTAATATATTAGGGCTTACTAACACCTTTTAAGGCACAACCCCTCTCATCGGACGTGAAAAAGATCAATCCTAATGGTGTCATGGCTCTCGCAAAGGACGTCGAATATCTCACTGAGTTTGTTGACAGTCTTGGGGTCCCTATTCTACGAGAGAATCTTGATGAGCTACAGCAAACGGTACAGTTGATGCAAGCGGACAACACGGACGAGTTTTATGACATATCCACGAGGAACAAGAAATATGGCCGCGTGGATGCATTGAATGGCCCTGTCTTACTAGAAAAGTACTATACCCTCATCTGGCACTTGATTCAACATAAAGGCTAACCATGAAGCAGGCTCACACGCACAGTTCAAAGCCCCATGAAAACCGATAAATTCTCAACACTCTCCTCGAGATTTGGAAAGAAGTCCTGACGCCCATCCGTATGAAAAAGAGGTCAGAACTCTCGCTGGCAATCATGTAATGCTATCTACTATTTTATCAATGATGCTTGATACTCGAGTAAAAGAGTTATGTAGATATGGCACCATCAAACACACAACGTATAGCATGATCATTGCATACGCAAGTACGCGCAAATATAAGAGACAGGAGGGAAGGGGGGAAATGAGAAAGACAAAACACCAATATATGTCCACCAACACATACTAAGTAACCTAAAACCATTCGCGTAAGAATAAGAAGAAAAAAATGGAGAGAGAAGACACGGAATGAAAACATGTAATAAACTTGTTTGGCATCCACAGAAAGTCATCAAGGGAAATCAAATGTAAGATACCATCGGTTTCTAGACATTGATGGCCGATGATTTTTCTCACTATTCAAATTAATTAGCCACATTTTTTGAAATAACGCTGCTAGAACAAATCGTCCTTCTATGCAAATACAGAACGATCAATATCACATACCTGTTGTGGCGGTAGATGCGGATAAGCAGCATACATTCCCTCAAACATTTGAGATTGCGGTTGGCCATATGCTGCTGTTGGATCCGACTGCACCGCCCCTGTGTACATTGTGGGTTGAGGTCTATATTCTTGATCTTGAGGAATGCCATGCTGGCCTAAAGATCCGTAATCAGGCGGGGCCATGTGATGTTGATGTTGAACGCCAGGTTGAGACGGTGGCAGTGGACCTGTAGCCCCTGGTGCAGAAGAGGCTACAGGAGCTCCAGCTGTCTGGCTGGATCGCTTTGCATGAGAAGCCGCCTCCTCTCGTGGCACTATGTCAATGAGGAAATCAAACATGTCAGACTTGGAAAGAGCGGCTGCAATATCAGACCGCTGCAAGGTGCGACGTTTGTTATCCTCGGCATGGATCCACGCTCGCATGGTTAGCTCAGTGATGAAAATATCACAACCTTTTGCGAATAAAATCGGCGCCTCTGCTGAGATCATCTTGACCTCTGGGTCAGCTTTCATGACCTTCTTTATGCGTGCCAACGGCAGTTGGTGTATTTTATAGTCATGATTATCAGATTCGAGATGGTTGATTACGTGTTGCCAGTATGTTGTAAGAACATCACGGGCTGTCCCTTGTAGACCTTGGTTGACCTAGATCGAGGTCAGTTCCATTCAAAACCATGCATTCACGCACTCACATTTGCCCAAGTGCCAGTATACAATTCAGCCACTGGTGCATATCCTTGTGCTGAGAGCTAGGCCACGCACACAGAGTCAGTAGAAGTTTAATACATTATGGGCGAGTCTTTTGTTTGTGTAAAATGCCGTGGGACTTGAGAAAACCTACAGCTGCGCTGGCACCTGATATACTATGTCAGCAAGAATTGCAAGTGCGCAAATTATGGGTTTGCGATTCGAATGGAAAGTCTTACCATAATGCCCACCATTTCTGATATCATACACAGGTTGCTGCCTACCCTGCTGCTGCCCGGCACTTTGGGAAGTAGGCTCCATGGTGATCAAGAGCAACCAAGAAGTTATACTCAAAAATGGTGTTATCTATAAACAATATTTCGCGAAAACACTAAGTGATGATTTTCTCGACAATGGTGTGGCGGATCGCGTGAAATGCGACGCGATGGCGGAATAGTCTTGAGCTAGAACCTCGACTTTCTAGCGCGTAAGATGAGAATTTGTACTGATAATGATATGATACCCTCAATAATTAGAAAAGGGAAGATTTAGTGTTCATCCCGTCCAGTCGTGATGCTGATAGATGATGATGTTTTGAGCCCGAGTCGAGTCAGCGGAGAAGCGCGCCAAGGAGTGACAGTGATTACTGTATGTAGGTGCTCAGCTCCGACTGACGGTTGCGGAAAGATCCGCAAAGCCCCGCGAGCCTGATAGTACATACATAGTACGTACTCCGGAGTAGTAGTACAGTTTCTACTGCACTCACAATACGATGCTACTAGTACTGTGTATTTCGTGTGTAACTCTAAATCTATTAGGCATTGGTGGATGCTGATGATATATATATATTCTAGCACCTACTACAGAGTAGTTACGATAAATATATTAGCAAACCTCAGTGATGTACAGGTCCTGTACAGGGGTATAGAGTACCACTTGGCAGTTCTACTACATACGTAACGACACGAATTAAATAAGCAAAGTGATATCTCTTTTTTTTTTTTTTTTTTTTTTTTTTTTTTTTTTTTTTT